GGGGGAGGGGGCAAGTATGACCAGGCCTGCAGCTGGGAGGGTTAAACCCAGAAATTGCAGTAGCACGTTTGGGTGGACAACACTGTACCAAAGAGAGGGGAAGGGACAGAGCGGAGACAGACACAGTGGGGGATGGAGAAAAAAAGAGAGACAGGAGACAAACAGATGGCATTAGGAGGGAGAAAAGGAAAGCGGGAGATAGAAGGACTAAGAGCCAGAGCACCAGTGAGTCTATGAGGATAAGCTAGAAATGAGAAAAACACACCAAGAGACATCTTCAGAGGTGAAAGAGCCCTCTGTGTGCAAATCTGTCTTCCCGTGGGCCTCCCTCATCGGCTGTAGGTTCGAGGGCAGGCACTAGCTTAAGTCATCTTTACGCCCCCTGTGCTTAGCATAGTGCAGACACAGGGCGCCGTACTTGTTGAACAAATACAGAAAATATTAAGAAAAGGCAGGATTTGAAGATAGAAGGGCAGAGACAGAGAGAGTGGCTCTGAGCTTAAGGGACGCGCAGAGTCACAGAGACGCGCTTTGGAAGGCCAGGCCTGCCGTTTCCTAACTGCATGGCTTTGAGCAAGACTGAGCCTCTCTAAGCTGAGAGTTCACCGTATCAAGTTGTGGAGGGTGAATGTCTGACGCTCTCAGCAGACGGCCTGTGTAAGCTCCTGGCAATGTTAGTTACTATTATTCCTGTTGTCACAGACAAGGGAGATAGGGACTAGCATAGATGGGTTGCATGGATAGCCTCCAACGAATGACCTTGCCCTGTAACTCTAGTGCCCGTCCACTCCAACTCCGGGTGTGGCTATGTGACTCGCTTGCTTTGGCTGATGGGACAATGGTAAACTTGATGCCAGCAGAGACAAAGACAAAGACAAAGACAGCCTGTGTCTGATTCCTTTCTTGGAGTCATCCAACCTGCCAACTATTACAGCTGTGTGATCGAGCCCAGGGAAGATCGGCCAGGTCCCACCCAGATCAGCTAGACCACTCAGCCAACTCAGCCTAGCTGAAATAATAAAGGGTTGTTGCTTTAAGCCAGTGGTTTGGAGTGATACGTTACAAGGTGATAGCTAGCTGTCACAAGGGCACGGTTACCCTTGTCTTTTACAACTGAAAGGCAAATGAGAGAGGAAGTCGAGATCTGCCAGGTTTTATTTGTAGAATCTAACGAACTTGAACCAAAGCAAGCTGCAAAAAGTGGTTTGGAGAGTGACAGGGAAGGGATACCAGACCCCAAGGGCACCCTTCAGGTGGAGGACACCAGAGGCGGCAGGTGGCTGGGGCAGGTCCAGGCACCTAGCAGCAGGGAGGGCTGCAACTGGGCGAGCAGAGGCTTGAGGGGTAGGGCTTGTGTTACCCCGGCCCTGCAGGTCTCAGGCCCTGGGGTCATACACCCGGCCCATGAAGATGGGGAACCTGTGCTGCTGGTCCCAGAGCAGGAAGAGGAAGGGCTGCTGCACTTCAAAGATCAGCAGAGTGCGGGCCACCGAGATAGCCGAGGCTGCAGCCACCTCCACCCCGCTTTCCGTCAGCTCCAGCATCGTCTGGTGCTGCATCGCAGAGACCTGGAGGTCCGCGTCCTCTGTCAGCCCACACAGGTTGAGGTCGTAAGAAAAGTCATAGAATTCTAGGGCATAACCGGAGAAAAACAATGCGTCAAAGACCAGCATGACCCCCTCACCTGCTGGAGACATTTGCCTGGAATTTTCTGGGTTGGTCCCAAGTTCTGACACTCTCTTCTTCTTTCTCCTTGGTTATCAAAATACATGTCATACCTTTTGGTCCAGTTCCTGGGACCCTCGGCCAATGGGCCCAGCTTCAGGCCAACCACCGCTTTCTCTCAAGCGGTAAGAGGCCTTGCCCCTACCCCCCAAAAACCCTGAAAAATTACGTCATTGCTTCCTTGTCAATGAGGACCTTGGAAGTGAGGTACTGTATCAGAAAGAGGTCATATATTATCAAATGAGGTAATATACTAGGAAACAAGATTATCTATTAGGAGGTCAAGTTCTTTAACAGAAAATGAAGTGATATATCTGGAAGTGAGGTCTAAGGTCAGGAAGTGAGGCCAAAGGTTAGGACATGGAGTCTCTGTGGCCTCTCCTAAACTCAGAAGCCTCCAGTCACCCTTTTATCCTGAGTGTTGCTTGCACAATCCATGGGGTGGCTGAGTGTTAAGGAATGTCTCTGAAAGAGGAGCATCCACGGCCCACCTTAGTCACCTGTCACAGTGTCACAATGAACCATAGTGGAAAGAGTAAAGAGAGGTAAAGACCTGGATTGATGTTCTGGCTCACTTCTAATAGCTCAAGGGATCTTGGCTAAGTCATGTAAACTTTCTGAGTCATTTCCTCAGTGATGTAATGAGATAACAGCACCTATCCCTCTAACCTACAGGATTGAGGGACAACCTGAGATTATAGGTGTAAAAAATACTCTTAGAGAGTGCTAAATGCTTTGAGGGACTCCCCTGGCCCCCCTCTTTTCTCGGAGTTGGGAGTAACTCTGAGCTGCCAGGGCTCACCCAGTTGCTCCATGACGGCCAGCATGTTCTGGTTGCTCTTGAGTTTAAATCGGGGCATCATCAGGAGAGTGGGCTGGAACTTGGCCATCTCCAGCTTCTTCATGACGGCCTTGAAGACAGAGGGGCTGAGAGCGTGCTCGATGTCTTCGAGACTGTGTTTCAAGTTCTGGGGTACCAGGATCACCATACTCAGGTTGTGGGAGAGCTGCAGTTGCCCCACCTGGAGAAAAAGAGATGCTACTTTATTAGTCTTCCCACCCTCTGGGTCCCAAAGCTGATCTCCAGTCTGCTGCTCCAATCTGTACCATTTCAGGAAGCAGCCAGCAGCCAGACCTAGGCTTCCAGGCTCTGCCAGTTAGGTGAACAGTGCTGGTCTAACTCTGTGCTCAAGTTTGGGCACAAGTTTCTGATCACACATGCTGAGGATGACATCCTGACTCTACCACTGATGAGCTATGTGATACAGGCAAGCAATTTGATCTTTCTGAGCCCTGTTCCCTTCCTCTCAAGTGTGCATAAGGTGCAACCAGCGTTACCAGGTCAATCCTTTGAAAGACTTGATGGCTCTGCAGTGTCTATGAGAGTAAGTAAAAATCTCTTAATGTGACATTCAAGATTCTGTACAAGCTGATCTTAGCTTATCTTTCCAGTCTGCCATCAGAAGGACTTTTGCTCATGGCCAGACAAAAATATAAGAGAAATGCAGGACCCAATATAGTGGTTCTCAACCGAGTGTGAATTTGCCCCAAGTAGACATTTGGCAATATCTGGAGACGTTTTGGTTGTTGCAGCTGGAGGAGGGGGTCACAGTGTTACTAGAATCTAGTGGGTAGAAGCTGGGAATAATGCTAAATCCTACAATGCCAGGACAGAACCTCATAACAAAGAATTATCCAACCCAAAATGTCAATAGTGCCAAGGGTGAGATACCTTAGACTAATAGGACATAAGAGACTATCATTAAAAGGGCATTATGGTTGTGGCTGAAAGATGGACGAGAAGACTCTAGAATGCAGAATTCAATTGGGCAATGAAGAAATTAACTGAAACCAGTCAACTGTTGGAATTTGAAAAAATTGCCCAGAAGAAGCAGGATATAAATTGCTATCGACTGAGGAGCAGGGACATGGGGTCCCTCTGTTGATGGAGGCTCCAACTAGGGTGTGATCACTTGGGCAGTATGGACCCTTCAAGTCCTGTGTATGGGCCTCGAATCTCTAACCAAAAAGTACCATGTTATGATCCTGAACTTCCAAACCAGTGACCTGAACATACCTAAGCTGGTAAATCTAACCCCCTTAGTTGGATGAATACTCTTTAAGTCCCAGGAAGATTCAGAATTAAATATGGGAATGAAAAGTACACCAAATTCATAGTATGAACACCAGATGACAAGATCAGGATAATCTTAAGAGAATCTGACAAGCCAGTTTTATGCTTTTAAGCAGAAAGTTATAGAATAATTTCATTAAGTTTGAGAATGATGTCGGTAAAAGTTGATTTACTCTTCAAACTTAATTTTCAGTTCACAGGTGTTTGGAAGATATGGCCAAGCATGGTTGTAATTCTGCCCTGTCAGGTATATGACATACTTAAAAAGAAAATGAAGTATGTTTATAAAGTATACGCATAAGCTTGAAATGCTTATGGGAATATTAATTAACCATATTTATAAGTGGAACAAATGGTTTAAAGAAGCTTAATCTGTTCAAAGTGACTTGATTAAAGAAAAAATTATAAGTAAATTTGCTCAAAATTAAAAGGCTTAAGACTTTGAATTTATAACATTTATTGTATTAAATAAGTATCTGTTTAAAATCCAAGGAATTGTAAATACTGTTTTTCTGTGCACAAAACTCCTGCTCCATTGATGTAAAAAACACATTGGTACCTTCCCCCCATATACTCTGAGTTAGAGCAATGGCCTAAACATGTTATATAGATTTACTCCTCTCTGCCTTACATATGCTATTCAGATTTTGTTAAATAGTTATGAATGGCCAAATTCAATGAATGGGAATGAATGGGTGGAAAAGTGCATGAATGGTCAAAAATAACCTCCCCTATGAAGCCTTCCCAGCCAAGGCATACTAGCACCTTCCACTAAATCCATTCATTTATTCAGCAAACATACAATGAGCACTTATTATATGTGGCAGTGTTCTAGGCACTGGGGACATTGTAGGAAACAAGATAGGTAAGGTCTCTTCTCAAGGAGAGAGAGAATATCTCAGGGAGATAGACAATATTGTAATCAAATAAGTAAATAACATAATTTCACGTAGTGAGAAATGCCACGAATATAATAAAACGATGATGTTATAGGGTGAGAAGGAGGCTACTTTAAGGAGTGGGAAGGCCCGTCCACCAAGGTGATCTTTGGGCTGACACCTGGATGGGCAGGAGGAACAAGTTATGTGAAAATCTGAGTGAGGAGGGTCTAGGCAGAGGGAAAGCTAAGGACAGTTCTCAAGGTGGGAACAAGCCCAGTGTGTCCCAGGAACATCCTTTATTTCTCGGCCTGGAACTAAGTCAGTGGGCATCTCCCATTGTGTTCTAGCTCATAGGTCTGTGTCTTGATGTCCTAACAAGGCAGAAATAATATCTGATCACTGAGTATGAGACAGCTTACTAAACTCTGGGCTCCATGTTTTCTGTTTTCCCTCCCTTCCCATCCACTGAGATGATACTGTTCAATTTCCGCTGGGAACTTAAGCCATTAAACACATGTGCACACAAACCGCACATGTATGCACATACAGATATACCTATACACGTGTACATATACATGCATGCTGCACATGCTTGCATATATTAGATGCACAGAACAGAAACACAACTCACTTTTTGCCATTTGATGGAGTAGAGATGATTGAAGAAACGTTAGAATCCTGCTTTCCAGCCTAAAATAGAGAATGCCTGCCTCGGCCAAGGCTGGAGAAGGGAGAAAAAGGCAGGGTGGAAATACAGAGGGAAGGAGCAGAAATTAGTAAGGGTGCACCTCAAACCAATGGATGGGGCCACAGCAGAAAAGAAATCAGGACGCACAAGAGGCACTGAAGCAGGAGCAGGAAAAATCAAGAACTGACCTTGGCCTTCAACATCGAGTCAGTGAAATGCGCCACGGGGTACTTCTTGCTGGTCATCATGGGCACTTTTATCACAGAGGATTTCAAATGAAAGGGCTCCTTCCTGGTTTTTGTGCGATCAAATGTCGTCTTCCACTTGGCTGGAGGGAGAGAGGGGGAGGGTTACTCTAATGCAGGTGGGCTAAGGATGTGGAGCTGAAATCCCTGGTAGCAAGGGGTGGGACAGGTACAGTGGGATCCAGTCGTGGAACTTGAGGTCGGGTGGGCTTTGAAGCCTAGAGGGGAGGAAGGATTCAGGATGGGAAGAGGACCTGGTCCAGAGCCCCCTTACCACTTAGGTAGATAGCGTTGAGAAGGACAAGGCGGGTGTCAGAGGGCAGGCTGTCTAGCAGCTGGGTGATCTTGTGGTTGGTGTTTTCCGCCACCCAGGAGTTGATGAGCTCCACGTTGACATCACTGTCATTTCCCAGGAGTCTGGGGCTTTCATACAGGTTCTGAGAGGCGTTCACAAAGGCGTCCCTTATGGCCAGGTCTGGGGGAGGGGGGTCCAAGAGAAGGAGGCATGAGTCCCTTGAATACCCTTCCCCCTTCCAAGAGCAATCTTTGGGGGGGTTTCCATCGACCTCTGTGCTCACTCCAATGAACACAGCATGTTGGAGCAGGGGTCCAAGCCACTCCTCTTACGGATGTGACAATGAGGCCCAAAGAGGGCAAACCCTGAACTTGGAGCAGAACTGATCCCAGGCCCCACCTGCCTCAGCTTGCCATGTGAGCATGGCTTGGCAAGATAACCCTGAACTTCCATTTGCCTGTATTTTCCCTCCTTTCTTTTCTTAATTCAAGAGGCAACAGAGTCTGCTTGCTGGCCTCAGCGAAAATTTGTAATAAGACTTCCTGGCTTTTGCTCTCCAAAGCCCAGGTCCACTAAAGAAAATAGTGTTTGAAAGAGAAACTTTGCTCTCCAAAGTCCAGGTCCACTAAAGAAAATAGTGTTTGAAAGAGAAACTTTTCCTAAATAACTGATATTGAATGTAGCTGTGTTTTCCACCAACCCAGCAAGACAGGATGAAGTCGATTTATAGCAAATAAGTGCAACATTACTCAAATACCTCTGAGCTATACTTTCCCATTTCTAAAAAGAGGGTGTGGTTTTTCCCTCACTGTTTTTCTTTATTTTCTCAGGTTCTATGATGAATAAGTATTATTTTCATCAGTTAAAAAAAAGGCAGGAAAAAATGGTTTTCCTTTATTTAAAGAGAGGGTTGCCCTAGCCGGTGTGGCTCGCTTGGTTGAGCATTGCCATGCACCAAAAGGTTACTGGTTTGATTCATGGTCAGGGCACATGCTTAGGTTGCAGGCTCAGTCCCCAGCAGGGGAGGTGTGGGAGTCAGCTGATTGATGTTTCTCACATCAATGTTTCTCTCTCTCTCCCTCTTTCTCTAAAAATCAATAAAATAAAATTAAAAAGTAAAGAGAGGGTCAGACTAAATCTGTAGTTTTCAAACTTTTTCAAGCAGCAGAACTGTATTTTCAAATAAAGTCATATTTGAAGCCCACAGTATAAAAGGACTGTGGTTGAGGCTGGGCGGGAGCTTAGAGCCCAGTTGGCTCCATATCCCTCTCACAGGAAGTGGCACCCCCTCCCCACTCTGCCTCCCTGATCCCCACTCCCACCATGACTTCTGAAGCTGCTCTGCGGAACCCTTAGGACTCTGTGAACCAAACCTTGAAAAAAAAATGCACTCGATCATTTTGGACGTTTATTGCTCTTATTACCTACTTAATCATCTAACACAAGTAAATGACAACAAATTCATATAATATAGGAGAGTACAAAGACTAGGAGGCCCAAGACTCCCCTGACGCAGATTAGCAAACATTTTTTGCCTATTTTAGATCTACAGCTCTCTAGCCCTATCTATTCATGAACTCTTATTCTAAAAGGAGTTGACGCATGCAAGAGACTTGCCCAGTCTCACAGTGGGGACTATCTGGAGTCACCTGATATGTCTGCTGAGGCCCTCACCTGCTCTGCAGTCCATCCTGGATGTTCTAGCTCTAACATTCCCTCTGTCCATTCCCCCCACTGCTGGGCCCCCTCAGAATCCCCTCAGGACCCTGCTCAGCAGCTGCCCCCTCTCCCCAGCTCTCACCTGGGCTGTGGAAGATCTGAGAGACTGAAGTGAAGCCTTTGGATGTGAAGGCCTTCAGTGCCTGGTGGACGCAGGCAAAGTCCTTGGGGTAGGCGAGAAGGGTCTCCAGGTTTTCCTTGGTGCTGTTCCCAGCCCCTACAAGAGGCAGAGAGAGGGCCAACTGCAGGAGGCGTGGGGGAGCCACCATCAGGACCACTTTTGAGGGACCAAACTGGAATGGGGGGTGCTGCCTGCTAGGGCGGGGATCACATATCATCAGAGCCGGAAGCATGGTTTTGGGAGACAATACATGTGTCAGAGAAGGGTGGGGGAATCATGAATAATCGATTAGGCTTTTCCAGGGCTTCGAATACTCTCCTCCCCTACTCTTCTACTTAATTTTTATCCCACTCATTATTCAAAGCCTGGTCCAATCACTGCCTGTTCCTCATGAACTAGTATTTAGTTGGTTTGGGTTTACAAGGGTTCACCCTATAGGCAGGGACACTATTAAGAGGAGACATCAGCCCTGGCTGGGTAGCTCGGGGTTGGTTAGAGTGTCATCCCGATATGCCAATGCTGTAGGTTCAATCCCAGGTTGGGGCGCACGTGGGGAGGTAACTGATCCATGGATCTCTCTCAAATTGATGTTTCTATCTCTCTCTCCCTCCCTCTCTAAAAGCAATTAAAAAAAGAAAAAATAAACTAACTGAAACCAATCAACTGAAATATGCCTTCCAGGGGGCATCTGGCAATGCCTGAAGACACTTTGGTGGTCTTAAGGGGGAGGAGGGATGCTACCGGCATCTAGTGAGTGGAGGTTAGGGATGTTAGGATTCTGGGATTCCAGAGGAACGGTTCTTACATATGCTCACTCTGTTGTCTCTAGCAGCCTTCCTGGAATTTCCCCCTTAGAGTGAAAGCTCTGTCTCCACTGCTTGTAGCAATTTGTTTGTGTCACTCCTAGGGTAATTAACCTGTGGCACTTGACAGTGATCCTTCGGGAAGGCAGAGGGATTAACATTTTTTTACCTCCCATCAAGCCAGGCACTGGGCTATCTACTTAATTTTCTGAGGTAAATACAACCATCTCCATTTTACACATGAGGACTCAGGTTCAGAGATGTTAAGTGACCTGCCCAAGGTCACACAGCTAGAAAGCAGCATTATCACAATTCTACTCTACTTCTCTTACAGTTTCATCTCCCTTATTGTCTGAACTTGAACCATGGTGAGTGGCTGGGAACTTGTTTTATATGTTCTTGTATAGTCCGTAGGGTTTTTATAAGCAATAGTGCCTATTAAATCATTGTTACATGAAAGAATAGATGGAAGTTCAAGAATAAAAACATACCCCCCATTTTTATAGCTTCCTCACTGAGGCATAGCTTTGTAGGTGTCTGGGTTGGGGACCCTCAGGGGAGGGTCTGACACACAACCTGGAGAGAACTCAGGTTCTTACCAAGCAGGACCTGAGTGAGCAGGCTCGCGATGCTGAAAGGTGAGAAGACCATGTTGCTCTGTGCCTTCTTCACTGATGAGAAGGCGTGGTAGAGCCTCACGGAGAAATCCATCAAAGCCTCCCCCAGCATGGTCTCCGCTGAAGGATTCTCCAAGTCAGGACAGTGAGTGTCAGGCTCCGGGCAGACGGGCCCGGTAGGGGGCTGGGTAGTGGGCTGGGTAGTGGGCTGGGTAGTGGGCTGGGTAGTGGGCTGGGTAGTGGGCTGGGTAGTCGGGTAGATAGGTTGAGTGGTTGACTGGATGCAGGGCTCGGAGGCGGGCTGTAAAGTGCTATTGGCTCTTAGGGTGGTTGAATTGCTTGTTGGCATGGTGGAAGTGGCCACGGTGGGTTGGCTGGATTGATTCTTGAGGATCTCTTTCTCTGAGATGTTTGTTTCGCCTTCCTCTGGCAGGCCCTCTGGATCCGCGGAGCTGTGGCTGGTACCATTCAGATTTGAGGAGACTCTGTCCTATAGTTCAAGACACTGTGTTTCATTTTTCTACGAGGCACAATCCCTCAAACACTCAAAGTGGGAGCAGAAGGTGGAGATGTGGACAGACTTCTGTACCCAAGATCATTTCTGAAAAAGCCTGGTGGGTGAGGGGCCTGCCCTGGAGCCACAGACCAGGAATTCCTTCAGAGTGGGCGGCACGGCAGGAACAGTTGGGGTTGGGGACACTCTGCAGAAGATGGGGAGCAGGCAGGGACTCTGTTATTGCCTGCTCATTACTGCCATATAGGAAGTTGTTTCCCAAACTTTGGAGCTGAGTGTCAACAGCATTTATCTATGTCCTTGAAATTAAAATATATATGTGTGTGTGTGTGTGTGTGTGTGTATATATATGTGTGTGTGTGTGTGTGTGTGTATATATATGTGTGTGTGTGTGTGTGTATATATATATGTGTGTGTGTATATATATATATATACCCCAGAGGACATGTGGCAACGTCTGGAGGCATTTTTGGTTGTCCTAAGGGAGAGAAGGGGGTGGGTGGAGGGTGGCAATGGCACTGGGATCTAGTGGGTGGAGGCCAGGGATACAGCAAAACATCCTACACTGCACAGGACAGCCCCTCATACCGAGGTATTACCCAACCCAAATGCCGATTGTTCAGGGTTGAGAAGCCACGTAGCACCCCCATTTGACTGTTAAAAGAAACTGATGCTGAGACCTACTGGCCCAGGGTCTCACAGAAGCTGGAGGAAACACTAGGAGTGAAACCTGGATCCGATTCGGGGTCCCTGCTCATCACTACATCACCTGCTGAATCGCAAAGGGCATTGCGGGTGTCACCTGCCACACACACGAGCACGCAGGCCAGAGTCAGCATCCACCTTGCTCCTGGGCTCGGCCCTTCCTCCTGACCTCCCAGAGCTGGGCCTCAGGTGCTGCAGGCCCAGCCAGGCCCAGGTGTGTCCTCTACCGCTCCTGTTTTCACGGGCCCAGCCCGGGAGGAGCCCACAGCTCAGTGTCCACAACACCCCCTGCTTTTCATTGCAAAATGCTGTCCACCTCCTTCATTCTCTGCTTTATAACTCAGGGCAGCGGGCGGGAGCAGGCGGGCTGGGGTCGCGACTTGCTCGAGGCCGCACAGCTGTGCCCCGCGGGCCAGCTTCGAACCCGAGCGTCTGAGCGGCCAGCTCTGCCAGTCTCTGCAAGAGCGGAGCGCGAGGATCACACTGGCTGGTCCCAAGGGGAGCTCTCCTCATTGTCCCGGGCCTGCAGGGTTAATCCTCAGCAACCCCCGTCCCCCGACGGGCCACTCACCCCAGCCAGCAGCAGCAGCAGCAGCAGGGTCAGCGGGGTCAGCCTGGAGGCCATCTGGGAGGCGACGTCAGCCGGGGCCTGCGGAGTCAGCCAGCGTGGGGCCGGCTTCGAGGTCACGGGCCCACCCCGGGCACGCCCCCATTCCAGCCGGGCCCTCCGCCGCCCTCTCCACCGCCACCTTCTCCCAGGCTCCTCCCTCCGTTTTGTTTTCCCAAAACCGCTTCCCTTTCCCGGCACCCGCTGGCTCGGCCTCACACCCCACCCCCTCCCCGGCCCGGGTCCCCTTCCGTCTGTGCCATCCTGGGGGTCCCGCTTTAGCCAGACAATGAGGCC